TTTTTTTTTTTTTTTTTTTAGTTGTGCTAAATTTTACATCCCCAGAGAGTTCTATTCAATTTCAATTGAACAAGCACTTACTAAAATACCTACTACATGCTTCACTTCATGTTAGGGAGGAGGGGGCGCACAGCGGGGGAAACATGCACACTATGTACCCAAAAGAAGTAGGAGGCTTCTCCTCTAATCAGGGAGAGGAGACAAACCCGTGACATAAGAGAAATTCAAAGTCAAGTAGTATACAAGTAAGTGCGAACACAGCACAGAGACATCAAGAACAGGAGAGGCTCAGAGGGTGAGGTTAATGTGGTCACAAAGACTCCTGGCTCTCACACATCAGGCTTGAAACAGGGCACCCAATGCCTCTCCTGGTATTGCCAAGGGCACTTGACACTGGAAGAATCTACAAGATCATGTTACACCCCTACTTAAGATCTTCCATGGCTCTTCATCAACCGCAGGGCAAACCTCCTTAGCCTGACATTTAAGGCCTTTCCTGACCTGGCTCAGACTCTGCCAAACTCCTCTTCAGCTAATTTCCACTCAGTGTACCGAGGGCCTTACTCTATGTGCCAGGGCTGTGCCAGAGCTGGGGATACAAAAATAAAAAGGCATGATCTCTGTCTAGCTGAGAAGACAGACAACAAAGAATACAATGTGATGAGTGCTATGGAGTTATGAATAAAGGGAGGTGGCAAAACAGATTAAGAAACTGGTGCTGCCTGGGAGTGGGAGTCAGAGTTGCTGGCTAGAGGAAGCTGTGGAGAATGTGTGAGAAAGGCCTAGGATGGTAGTTCTCCAAAAAAAAAAAAAATAAATAAATAAGAGGAAGGGAATCCCAGGTGGTGGGAACAGTCAGAACCAAGCCTCAGAGTTGTAAAAGTCTATTGCCCAGCCTAAGTACAGAGCTGGGGGGTGAGAAGGCTGGAGGGTGAGAGGGTAGGTCAGCAGCACTAAGGAGTGGAGGGAGACAACATAGGAAGATAGGTGACTGGTCTAACATGTTCATATTATCAGTATTAATAAAGAACAGCCGCTTCTTTTTACCAAATACCTAAAAGTGGCTGGTGCTTTATATTATCATATATTGTATATACAAATACATAGATATCACATGTATCACATATTTTCTGCTCTGTGCTATTATTTCTAATACCTGGTTGGTCACATGAACTGCTATTAATCTGATTTTGCAAAAGAAGTTCAGAGTACCTTGCTCAAGGTCACATAGACAGGATGTGCAGAGTCAGGATTTGCTCCCAGGTCGGTCTGGTGCCCCTATACTGTGCTGTGTGATCCTTCTTATGGATAGCTACCTTGACTAAGGAAGCATTTTCCATCCCTTGCCTCTATTCTAATAATCTGCAAGGCAAGTGTTTTTGCTTATTTTATAGAAAAGGAAAATGAAGCTCCAAAGCTATAACAAAGGGCAGAGACTGGATTTGAACTTAGACTTGTCCACTATATAAATCTGGACTTAACTAGGCAGGAAATGGGAAGTCCTCTTGGGTTTAAGTCTGGGAATTCACATGTTCAAATGGAACAGAAAGGTATCCTGGAATCAAAATCAAGTAAGGACTGGAAAAGGCAAAAATAAGCAGCAGTAAGACCATTTATGGGGCCATTACAATAGTTCAGGTGACAGACTCTGGCAGCAGGAATTGAGGAAAGGATGAAGCTAAGAGAATCATACAGGATCTGGCTAAATGACACTTCCTCTGTGAGACCCACTCTGTCTTTCCCAGGCTGAATTAATTATTCATTCCTCTGTGCATCTTTATAACCTAAATATCACACTCACTTGGGTAACTGTTTGCTTACATGCTTGATTTTTCCACTAGACTGTGAGCCCCTAGAAGGAAGAGACCACCTTACCCATGTTTATGCCCCTAGCACAATGACTGGCACATAGTAATTGCACACTAAATGTTGGCCAGAGGGATGCATGGCTAGAAAAAGGGGACTGAAGGATGGCACCACCGGGACAAAGAGAAGAGAGACAGCAAAGCTGTTGTGACTTTGCCAAAGACTCATGGTCTGGAGCATGGGAACGAAGATTAAGTCAGCTATGGAGAAGGCTATGACTAGACCTTAAAAAGTCTTAAATACCAGGCAGAGAAGAAGAAACTTTATTCGGTAGGTAAAGGGGAGTAACTAAAAGTTTCGAAACCCGAAAGGTCATGACTTAAAGCAACATTTCAGGAAGATGTGCCTTTCCTTTATTATCCAGCACATTTCTGGGCCGACCAACCCCTCTGCCCTTCAGCAGAAGTGCACTTGCGGAATGCATATTCATCCAAGTATCACGCTAAATACAACGTGTTAGGATGGTAAATCTGTTGTATCTCACATCGCGTAAGTGGTTTTTGGATTATCCACATGATTAACTCCATGAGCCATCAGCATGAATAATAAGGAGGCTAAACAAGCTGAGTGAGAAATCTAGGAGCAGAGAATTCGCCCTCGGCTGATCCCACTGGAGATGAAAATTCAGTCGCTAGTTCTCGTCTGGTGAACTTCTGACTCCAGAAGCCTCTACTTCCCTGTGTGACCTTCATAGGAATTGTTACACAGAAGGCGTGGGCAGGACGTGCTGGTTTCCTGACCTGTCCTGCAATTCTGTGGTTGGCTCAAGCAATGGGCTGGCTACCGCTGACAATCATGTGTCACCTGCCTCCATCAGAAAACATGTTGTGTTGAAAAACACACTCCCAAGACCAAGGAAGTCCAAGCAAGACCTCAAACCAGAGAGGAAAAAAGCACGGACAGAGCCACACGTGCCAACAAATTCACCCCTACGTTTATTCGTCCTTCTGCACACCGTGGGTTTTCTTCTCCTTTTCTTCTCGGTGAGGTGGGAAGCCCTGGCAAAGGGCAAAGTTATCCAAAGGCCTCACTAGAATGGGAATATTTACTGAAGGTTTTAAAAGTGGCAGAGCAAGACAAAAAGGCAGGTAGAAGAGGTTCTGCATTAGGCAAAGAAAATACATGGGCAGAACAGGGGTGAAGTGTGGGGGGAGAACTGAGCAGACTTAAGAATGAATCTGTCCCTTCCACCGTACACAAAAATTAATGCAAAATGGATTACAGACCTAAATGTAAGAGCTAAAACTATCAGACTTTTTCTTAGAAGAAAATATAGGAGTAAATTTTCATTGACCTTGGATAAGGGGAAGCCTTCTTAGATATGACACCAAAAGTACAAGCAAACAAACAAACAAAAA